GACTTGACCTCAAGTCCTATGGAAAGGGGGATTCCCCTTCAAAAACACTAACACCTCCCCCCCTTTCCCACCCCTAAATCATCCCCCAGATTTCATTAAAGGTGTAATTTTTTATTGTTTTTAAATTTTATTTTTGCATTAACCCTTTGAGGGTCGACAGGCCCCTCCGAAACTCGTTCTCAGGGTCCCCCAAATTTTCAAAAAAAAAAAAAAAAAATATTTTTTTTATGAAAAATGGATTTTTTTTTTAAATTTTATAGGCTAAACAAAAAAAATTCCCATCAATCTTACTGAGAATGGAGGCTAAAGTTTGCAAAATTAAACAAATTGGTAACATCCCCGCGCCGTACCCGGTATTTTTCTATTTACTTTTTTTGTACTTTTTTCAATTTTTTTCAATTTTTTTTTTTTTGAAAATTTTATGGCCTTGAGGCCACATGATCAGTATTTTGTAAGTTATTTCTTTTTAAATTACAAATAAGGGCGTAAAATTTTGTCATTTTTTGTTTACAAAAAATATTTACCCAAAAAAAAGATATGAAATGTTGCTTATTACTTTTTTTCTATATTTTATATACCATATACGTAAAGGGAATTTTTCAAAAGTTCTGGCCTGGGGAATCTTTGAACAGGTGTCATGCACAGTGGTTTTTTTTACACCCCTCACACAAAAAAAGAGTGTTTTGGGTTTGTTGTGGGCGTTTTTTTTGTTGTGCACGACATAACACCTCATCTGAGCCTTTTTCTTAAAAGCGTAGCAGGCGTTTTACGGAAGTGTCCCAATCTTCAGACAAGCAGGTGGGGTTTTAAATTTTTGGGTGGGCGGTAAAATTGAGGTGCTGTTCCTTGGTACTTGAATCATTTGTTGATGCAGACAAACAGTTTTGCCATACTGTGGTTTGTTTCTGGTCCTATCTTTTATTTTATAAGCTTTTGAGCATGGAAATGTCCAAAAGAGGGAAAAAAAACAGTTTGTGTACCACTTATAATCTTGCGAACACAATCAGCAAACCCAATTGTGTCACATTTGTCCACTGAACGCTTTTTGAAGGTGTAATAAATCCAGCTGCAGGTTTTAGAATGGGTTCATTGCTTTCTAGCTGCCTGCCACTGCTGCCATTTCATTAGAGTAAACTGATGAAACAGTGTAAATCTCGTTTGTCATCCCACCGAAATGCTGTGTCATTGGCAACAAACACCGCCCTCCCCCTTCGAGTGCCAGGTAAAACTGGGCATATTTTTCCGATTTGCAGCACTGTCCCAACACATCTGTCTTTTCATCGCAAAAAATCACTGGGGAGGGGTTTGTGTCCGTTATCTGATATATATAGCCCTTCCCAAAGGTTTGGGTTTTTTAATTGTTCAAACCACATCCCCTGAGATGCCCAAAATTTCCCTGGTATTTTGAAAGTATAATTCCAGTGTAACAATATATCCAATCCAGACCACTGTAAAAAATCACAAAGCACAAACAATTTATCCCAAAAGGTTTCCTCTTGCTTGGTTTTCTGCTTAAAGGAGTTTCCTTTGAACAGAAAAAAGGACTCGTAAATTACAAGTTCCCTGAAGGGTAAAAATGCGTATGAATTTCTCTTTAGATACCAAAACACTTCCCAAAATCTTATATAACCCTGCATTTCTGTCGGGCCCTGGTTTTGTCTAAAATGAAAACATACTAACATTAGCACAAATCGATTCACTGGCTTTATCCCTGAAAAAACCCGGGGATGCAATCATGCGGCTGTTTACCCGTTGATTTACTTTGTCTTTTTCACATTGGCAAAGCATTTTTGTGGCAAAGAAAAGATACATTCAGCCACGTTGCCCCCTTCCATGGTGTGCGTGTTTTTTGGGAAAGTAATGGTTTCCATGGTGACTTTTGTATGTGTTTTTTTCCATGACAATACTTTTCCCAGTGGTTGTCAAAGAATACTCGAAACATTCCCGTTCAGTGGCTTGTTCCCAAGTGTACAAAATGGCCGTATTCCACTTTGGCGTCTCAAACTGGGGGCTTTTGGGGGAAAAAAATTGACGCTTCCTGCCAATCCCCCGGTGCGGTCTGCTGGTGGGTACTGGACAATGAAGGGGTTGTGGTTGTGGAGGTTGTGGGTTTTGGGGTGGGTTTGGGGGGTGGGGGGGGATGGTGGCTTTGTTGTAGTAGCGAGGCGCGGCGTGGGGGCAGCGTGGGTGGCAGCTGGCCCCCTGTGGTGCCCCACCCCCGGCACCCCTCCACCACGACATTTTCCCTCCCCAATTGAACGTATATCGTCATTTTCACTGTTGTTCCCGTTTTACAGCCCCGGGATGTACTACGAGTGCACTCCTTCCCCCTTGGAAAAGATATGGCCACTACCAGAGCGCATTTGTCTATATACTGACGCTTTACTGGGGAATATTGCACCCCTAAATTTACTCTGGAACTAGTTTTAAGAGCTTTTAGTTCATATTCACTTCACTTCATCACCCCTGCCTTTATTGGTTGGGGTTTGGGGGAAAAAGAAGTTTCCTCTTGGATTCTGGTACAATGAACGTGAACAAGACGGCCCCGCACCCCAAAGGGGGAAGGGTGAGGGTCGTTGGGTTTTCCCCACTATTGCCATTTTATGGGCATTAGTTTCGGGCCCAAAACCCCCCAAAACCCTTGAAAAATATCTTCATGGCATTCCATTGTATTAGAAAATTCAGGGAACAAAAGTGCCCCAAATTTCCCGAGGAGGAGGAGCTTTTTACCCGAGGATGGTGGGTTGTTTACTAAGATGGCGTTCCACAAGCCCACTGGGGGCCCCGATTTTTTTTCTACGCGCACACCGACCACAAGACCATTTCCCCACATGTGGCCTACCAGCCCTTTTTCCCCCGAGATTTGACGCCCCTTGAATTTGTGGTATGTAGTCAAAAACCCCCCCGCGTAAGATTTCTGTCGTCCGAAACCCTCAAGGGTTTTAAAATTTAAAATTTTTATGTAGTAAATTTTTTTTTTTTACTTTTGGGGGTTTTGCACGAATTAATTTGATTTTCTTATTTCTATGAGGAAAAAATTTATTTTGGTTTTCGATATTATCGGATTTGATGACTTCAGGAACGGATTAATATCGAATACTGGGGGTCCACTGTACCTACAATTTTTTTTTTTAATAAAGTGCATAGTTAACCCTTTGACTGTTGGAAGCCCCTTTCTGAAACTCATTCTATGTCGCAAAATTTTTGAAAAAAGAAAAATTATTTTTTTTTATGAGATGATAGAGAATCTTTTCCCGATGGTAATGACACCAAAAGTATGAAATTTGGTCGAAAACTCGCGGAATAACGCTCGCGCAAAGTTAGCGGTCTCGGCGACATATACGCATCGGTGATTTCGCCGACTTTGAGCCCTGTTTTTGGCCAATTCTGTTGTTCCAGTTGACCAAACTCATAACTATTTCTTTAGAACTCTGTTTTTTCTATCAGTTGAGTACAAGAAACCGCCCATTTACCGATTTGAACTACCCAATAAAGTGGTCAGAAATTGGCAATTTGGCCAATTTCACGCAAATTAAAAAAGATGCCAATTTCAAAATAGGGTCCAGAATAAACAATGTAGACATTCTTGGCACTAAAATAACATATCCTCTATTCATTAGTCATATCTCTAGGCCCCTCTTATATTACTATTGCTTTCTACTGTGATTTTTTTTCATACAAAAAATACAAAATTTACTATTATGCAGACTAATGCATTATTGTAAAAATGGTATAAATAATATCAGTGCACTAGTGAAAGAACATTAGACTCCCCAGTTGACGTGTATTGGACGTGTGGTGTGATTTGCTTACTCCTGAACATTAGTAAAAATCGAACATTTCCGCTAATTTGAGCTCAATTTCAAGGTCATTTTCATCGTGAAACTAATCAAAATCATCTCTATTTCTGTAATATGTTTTCCATTTTATCACTTGAGACCATGAAAATGGGAATACAACGATAAATTCTGTACAAAAATACACCTCAAAATTGGCATTTTAATCCAAAAAAACGGTCAGTTTTTTTTTCTCATTATGCACTGCGTGCTGCAGGATTTTTTTTATGTGGTGCACACTGACCACACAGACCCATTCTCTCACATGTGGGCCTACCAGCTTTCTCCTGCTTGATTTTTGAAGCCGCTAGAATTTACACACAGTAATACGTCCAAAACAGTGGCGCGTAAGACGCATATATATACGACCAAAACAGTCAAAGGGTTAAATCAGGAAAATTAATAAATAACCCACACTTTGGAGAGGAAATAATGTTTCAGTCCATCCTAGATCTTTATCAAGTTAAAACAGTTGTGATTTGATAATGATCTAGGAAGTACCGAAACATTGTCTGAAATTTCCTCTCCTAAGTGTGGATTATTTATGAATTGACTTATTAATCAGGTCAGGAAAAACTCAAAACTATAAAACTTATGCAAGAGTTGTGTTAGGTAGCCATATGACAGGTAATTATTTGTAATTACAGTACTGTACCTGTTTGTAGCTATTCAGGAACAGAGCTGTGCTCATGGTATCTCATCTTCAATAGTTCATCACTTACTTTTTTTTTAAATTGCCACTGGTTGAAGCATAACTACACCCTTTTGTATTTCCTTCCAATGATCTACCAATCTGTTTGTGAAGAAAAATTTCCTAGTGTCTGCATCTCCACTTTTTTTCAGTTTACAACTGTTTCTTCTTGTAATCCCTGTTGCAGGTACAAAAAAAAAAAAACTCTGTTATGACTTTATATGTGGTTTTCATATCCCTTATCCTCCTCCTGTCTGCCACCATGGGCATCTTTAGTGTTCTCAACCTTTCATCAAAATTGATATTTTAGCTTTAAAGTAGGGTGCACTCTAGGGTAGGGTGCACTCTAAGGTAGGGTGCACTCTAAGGTAGGTACACTTTCACAAAATTCTCCACTTGCAATCAAATACACAATTGGAAATGCTGCATTGGATGTAGATCATTTTTCTCACCACATGCACACTCATGAATAGGGAGAGCCCGGGCGTGATGGAACACCAGGACGTGATGGAATTCCAGGTTCCCGTGGCCCCATGGGTCCTGAGGGTCCTCGTGGTATACCTGGAGACAGTATAAATGGTATCCCTGGATCTCCTGGAGATCCTGGACTTGTTGGACCTCCTGGTATCCCGGGTAATCCTGGAGTAGATGGTATTGCTGGTAAGTTACCTAATTCTTTTCCTCATCTTCTGTAATATAGCTGGAAAAATGTCGTTACTGGCAAACATATCCAGTATGGTATGTACCTGAAACTGATTCATTAAGAAATTAATGAAAGGCACACACTCATAGAGCTAAAGTTCACCCTGAAACTCAGATAATTACACATACACATACATGCATGTGTACACACACCACACACACACACACACACACCACACACAACACACACACACACACACACACACACACATACACACACACACACACACACACACACACGCGCACACACACACACACACACGCGCCCCACAACACACACCACACACAACACACACACACACACACACACAACACACACACCCCACACACACACACACCACACACACATAGACCCTTTAGCGCGTGGGTCCGGGGGTGCAGACGTGGGTGCACAAGGCTCCGAGAACCCTGGTGTTTTTTTAAGGCGTGCAGTAAATGCTAGCAGTAACAGTGGTAGTGAACATCGTCAGTGAACAATAATACAAGTTTATAATAAAGTTATTAGTTAAAAAATTTGTCGAAGGAAGCTGTAATTATCAATATTTCAAAGCGCCAAGCCCTTGTGGGTTATAGGCGCTGTTGCTACACAGATTCAAAAAATACAAAGATCAAATGAGTGTGGAAACGGCTGTTCAAGAATTATCAGCGTTTGGCTAACAAGTAAAATGTGGGGCACCATACAGTGAGAGTGGGAAAAAATTAATAAGCAAAAAGGGGAAAAGGAAAAATAAAATATAAAACAAGGGAAGGTGGCAGCAGTAGGCCTGCTGAAGCAGTGACGTCATGACAAGTTGTGTGCCATTATACATATAAAGTGAAGGCATATAAAGTGAAGTGTATACTAATCATAAGTGAAAAAATGAAATCGCGTGAGGAACGAGGGATGTATGAGCACATGTGGCTTAATCAACACGGGTGAAGGATCTCCAAAACTAGGGATATAAGGATTACGTACGACGGAACTTCGTCAGCATCTGGCAACTGATCACGACGTGCCAGGGCAAGTAATCACTCACATATTTTGTCGGTTTGCACGTTGCAGGCTTGTTCTGGGCCTTGCATCGCTGTTAGATACTGGTCACTCACTCCTGCATAGCTATTATAGTAGTTATTAGTAGTAAGAATACTTAGGAGAGTAGGAAGTCCTCTCTCAACGTGAACAATGAATGAATAAGAACCAGCAATAATTGATACTTAAATCCAGAAAGGGCAATAAGTGGAGAAGTAGAATTTTAGGAAAAAGGACAGTTGGACAGAGAGGTAATAAACGGATCTTTAAACCACCCCAATCTACCCCCCCTTCCCTAACCATCCCTCTCTCACACCACACACACCAAGGGCAGAACTCATAGAAGCTTTAGACCCTAGTAGCAAATTTCACTTTTTACAACCAGAATTATGGTATGTATTAACAGTATATCTAACCCCTCATACTCTCCAATACACACGGATACACACGTATACACACATACACACAATACAACACACAGCTTTTTAAGGGCAACATTGTAAGTAGGTGGAGGTCAAGCCCCAGGCGGGGTCAGGTCACAAGAAGTTGCGGCCAGTCAAGGACCACTGACACACACACACACACACACACATCGCGTACACACACACACACACACCAACACACACAAACACACACACAACCACACACACCAACCACACACAACACAACCACACACACACCGACACACACACCACACACCACAACACATACACGACAACGACCACACACACACATACACACACACATATCACGCACACACACACACACAACACACACACCAAACACACAAACACACACACACACACACACACACCACACAACATACACACACACACACACACCCACACACACACACCACCACACACACACACACACACACACACCACACACACACCACACACACACACACACACACACTACACATTGCCAGACTCAAACCATACACTCCCCCCTACCCCACCGACATCTCACTCCGTCACCTGATCCCTCCCCTCCCCTCTTTCACCCTCCCCCGCCCTACCTCTCCCCTCCTTCCCCCTCTCCCTCTCCCACTCACCCACTTGTTCTCCCTCTTCCCCTCCCCCTCCCACTAACTTCTCCCAATAGTCTTACAGTTCCTCCACTACTCCCCTCCCCCACACTCTGACATACACAATAATAACCTAACATACAGATTTACATAGGTTTCCCACTCTGAGGCAATCAGGATTCAACAAAAAAATGGGTAGCACAGAGAGCAACAAGAAAAACCAAGGACAGGAGGAGGGAAACTGCCAAAGGAAGATTGGACAGCAGGCCAGAGCTCACAAAAAGGGAAACAATGATGGGAAAAGAAAGAAACTGAAGTATTAGCATGAGAATCGGAAGGAAAGGCCATAGACATGGAAGAGCAGGAAGTGGGAGGTGCAAGTCAAAGCAGCAGATGCCAGGATACAAGAGTTTAGAAGAGGAACTGAAAAATCTGAAACAGCCTTAAAGAACCTAAAGAAACATTTTGGGATTGACAAACAGAGGACTGCTACCTCAGCCACAAAATAAGGGGACTGTAGGTGAATGAAAGGAGCAAAACTGCATGTAGAAGGCTCAATCAGTGGAGGAACTGTAGTAATGAAAAGAGCTAAGCTATATGTGAAGGCCCTAACAGACCACCAGCAGAGGCCCAGGGAAAGCCGAGGAGGGAAAATGACAGGCACTGAGCCCAAGTACATTAGCTAGTGGAAAACTGAAAGAAAGGAAAGCTGCAATGGAGGAAATCAAATTGAATGAGAGGATACATTAAGGGATCTGCAGTGGAGAAAATGAAGGGTGTGGTCAGGTCTTTGTGTATGGCTCCAGGGAAGTTGAAGGGGAAACATATGAAGCTAGAAAACAAGGGGAAAAAAAGCAATTGAAAGATCAGAAAGCAATAGGAGAAGACGACATGACCCAGCTGGAAAATTTTCAGAGAATAGGGGGGTTTGTAAAAAAAAAGAACCGGCCAGTGAAAGTGACCTTTCAAGGCAGAATCGACTCGGAACAGGATCCTGCAGGAGGAGAGAGAAAGCACGATTAAGGGACATGCCGGCATACAGGAGGGTGTATCTCGACCGCGACAGAACAAGCAGAAAGACAGAAACAGAGAGAGAGGTACAAAGGCGCGAAAGGAGGAAAGGAAGAGGGGATTGGAGGAAGACAGACAGGAGATCCCAGACAAGGAAGATCAAATACAGCCTCCCTACAACTTCCTATAGAAGCTCCTAACCAGTGTCAACTCCCAGTTGCAACCAACACTTAAACCAAAACACCCATGCCACATCCAATCGCCCCCACCCACTGCATTACAAAACTCTACCCCCACAGAAACCACCCATATTTTCCTTATCAGGTCTCACATTCCCCAACCCCAATACACCTCCCAGACCACAATCTTAGAAAAAGAGTTGAATGGTGTGGTTACAAATGCAGATGGAGTTTAGATAATAACAAATAAGTATGAGGAGTGGCATGAAAGAATCAAGGAGACATACCCAGACATAATAGCATCACAGAAAAACAAAACTCACCAGATAAAATAGACAGATTCAAATCTTTCCATCCAGATATCAAATCCTCAGGAAAGACAGTGGGAGGAGGGGAGTTGCACTGCTCATTAAAAACCAGTGGGGGTTTGAGGAAAATGGAAGGAATGGATGGCATGGGTGAACAGGGAATATCCTAGTAGGAACAATCCAGTCTGAGGGACATGAGTGATAATGCATGTAATGTACAACCCACCACAGAAACTGCAGGGAGGCCAAGAAAAGACTACGGATGAGAGCAGCAGAGCAATGGTCCGACAACTAGGCGAGGGTGGCCAGCAAGACACATGAGGGGAGCAAAGTTTACTAGTTATGGGTGATTTCAATCACAAGGAGATTGACTGGGAAAACTGGGATGCCCCATGGGGGGTCCCGAAATATGGGGAGCCAAGATGATGGATGTGGTACTGGAAAACCTCATGCATCAAACATGTTAGAGACACTACCAGAGAGAGAGTGAGAGGATGAACCAGCAAGCTGGACCTTGATTCCACCTTGAGGTAGTTCTGACATCGGAGGAATATCATGTATTGAAAGGCCCTGTGGAGCTAGTGATCATGTGGTTCTGTGCTTCGATAAATAGTTGAGCTCCAAGTGGAGAGAGCAGCACTGGAATTGGGTGGGGAAAAAACCAAACTACAAAAAAGGGGGAATACTCAGGGCTTGAGGAACTTCTTTCAAGACATTCAGTGGGAGAGAGGGGAGCTGACAGGAAGAACCAGTTACAAGAAATGATGGGGACTATTGTGGCAACAAAATGCAAGGAGGCAGAGGAGAGGTTTGTTCCCAAGGGAAACAGAAATAATGGGAAGAGACAGAACGAGTCCTTGGTTCACCCAAAGGTGTAGGGAGGCAAATACTAGGTTTATGCTAGAGAAATGGAAAAGGTACAGAAGACAGAAAACTCAGGAAAATAAAGAGATTAGCTGAAGAGCCAGAAATGATATGTGACAGGATAAGGAAGGGAGGCTAACAGCGGCCAATACGAAAAATGGACATAGGCATCGAAGTCAAGACTTTGACCCGAAGCTGTTGTTACAGCCACATCAGGAGGAAAACAACAGTAAGGACCAGGTAATAATCAGGACTGAGAGAAGGGTGATGGGGGAATTCACAAGAAACGGACCGAGAGGTAATGTCAGGAGCTCAACAAAGATTTAAAGAAGTATTTACAGTGGAAATCAGTAGGATTCCAGGAAATCAGGAGCAGGGGGTTGCAACCAGAAGTGTGGATGAGGTACTTATAACAAAGGAGGAGGTGAAGAAGCTGCTAGCGAACTTGACACCTCAATAGCGGTGGGACCAGACAACATCTCTCTGTGGGTCTTAAAGAGGAGCTGAGATATTGTGTGTACTGTTAACAACGATCTTCAACATCATCATTTGAAACT